ATTCAATGAATTAGCCTAATGGAAGACTTATTTTTCGAGCATAAAAATCTTTTTCAATATTTAGCATTATAGACAATTGAACTAACCATCACAGTTTCTACAATGTTCACAGGTTCCCGAATATGAGGAGCTGTTCCAAATGAATTGCTGTCGGTGTTCAATCAATGTAGATAAAAAGCCTTTTCCCGCTTTCCCCGATGTATCGTTTGTTGCATGTGCAATCAATTTTGAAATCTCCAGCTTGAGGCATGTTTACTAACTTGTCCTTGTAATTGCAATGTTATGTTTTAAATTTAGCTCAGATAGAAAAAAAATCATATCTAGTTTGCTTGCATATTCTTTATTGTTTTTTAAAACTTGGAATCTAAAGTATGAAACAAAGGAAATTAAAAAAAAATAGGGTGCAGGAGGGCTTTTATGTTGAGCACTCTTTCTGAAAAAGAGACCTGAACCCTCATGGATGTGATTCTATAGAGGAATATTTAGAATATCATGGCTAGAAGATGTGACAATGAGAAAAGTCTCAGGCTAAATAGAAAAAACAAACAAAGAAACTTATACTTACACACACACACAGAGGGATACATAATGAAGAAAGAAGGCTTAGAAAATTTAACACTCACAGGACATAATGAAAGCAAGAGAAATAGGGGAAACTGTGAGCAAACTAGGAAAGCGAAACAGGAGAATCTAAAACTCTCAAGACATATTGAAGGCAAGAGAACCAGAGGAAACTGGTTAACCAGAGAAAGAGGAGATTGTAAAGTAGCTAGCACTTCTTCAGCACTCTACCAGATGGCGTGGCTCATAGCATTAGTCTACCATTAATTCAATTAATTCATTTAATTAATAAGTTGATACTAAACTGATTAATATATTCGAACTGATCTTACTTCGTTTGGCTACACAGCATCTGACCCTCGTCTATTCCTTGTAAGTTGTCTTGTTAATTGTTTTATAACTTAGTGTTCTGTGTTTTTGTATGTATCCGTTAGAACCGGATACTGATGCAGAATAAATATTTTAAGCACTCATTCTTCTCTGTGTATCATTCACCTCGACGATGCAACAGAGGGCTCGGAGAATTTAACACTCACAAGACATACTGAAAGTAAGAGAAGCAGTGAGTAAACCTATTAAACGAGTTTGAGTGAATGGCTGTCAGAAAATAGACAAAGACGAATGGTTATGGATCTAAAGTTGCTTAGAGTAACACAAACAGGAAGTTAGGGACAGACATTATTGCACATGCTCAGCAAGGCACATAACAGAAAAACAGTCTATATAATAATAATATATTCAGTTGTAATCAGTTCAAACGGCTGTCTTCAGAAATGCTATCTGCTGAAAAAATAATTATACAGTAAAGGAATTCGTGAATCATTAGGGATACAAAGTATGTGTGTCGATCCTTTAAATATTGAATGAATTCTAGGAATTTATAAAGAGTAATTCCTGGTGAGCTTTCTTTCATACATGGAGACATCCTACAAATAAAATATGAGAGAAAGATTGGTAAATATAGAATCCATAGGACAAGATAATCGTTTGAATTCGAAAGGAATACGTTAAATATAAAAGAAAATAATCTGATGATTATTTCACGCGGTAAAAGGAACGAAATATTAAAGATATTGAAAGAAAAGGTAGTTTTTTTTAATAAGTATGATTCGTTTAATATATATATAATATATATATATATATATATATATATATATATATATATATATATACTAGCAGTAGAGCCCGGCGTTGCCCGGGGATGTAACAGTAAGAGATAGATCAAGAATCGACCATCATAAAGACTGAAAAATAAAATTGACAAAGATTATTGTTTAAGGTTGACGGACACGCATGTCTTAATTAATTTTTTTTTTGTTTTTTTTTTTGTATTTTTTTTTTTAACGAATTGGTCAAACCCAAACTCAAACAAAAACATTGTTTTCAATCGTTATGAGTCTATCGATTGAATAGAATTTTATTATAAACAATTGTCTTGTAAATGGAATTTCTAAAGCATTCTGAATGTAAAAATAAAGAAAAAAGTGTGCAAGACAATAAGAAACACTACCTGTCAAAAAAAAGTGAAGTTTTGTTGAAATCGGTTGAAAAATGTAGGAAATCCGATCCCATATATAAACGAACACACACACACACACACAAACAACCTTGGTTTTATAATAAGTATAACTCGATATGAGTTGTCCCCCTTTCATTCTGGCGACAGAATCGTGTTTTCAAATTGATTTTGTGCAAAAACAATTATGTTTTTTCCAATTTTTGGCGCTGTCAGAACCACCGCAAGGTAATTTTACGTAGTCCTGTGAAGTTTTGTTGAAATCGGTTGAAAAATGTAGGAAATCCGATCCAATATATAAACGTACAGACACACACACACACACACACACACACAATCTGCGTTTTATAATAAGTAAGATATGGCGAAAAGATTAGAAAGGCTTATAAGTCGGCTACTCGTCCTTGCATTGGATATTGCTAAGGTCTAACGAGATTGTGCAAAAGATGGGAGAAGAAGGAATAGGATGGATAGTAAAGGGTCAGATTGTCTCCCTTTTGCTTTCCATGCTTTCGTTCGGCTGATGCTAACCTCCAGGAGAGTGACTCCTTCCGCTTTCTCGGACTAACATTTTCAACTGATATGACGTGGAATTTATTATTGTATTACTAGGTCTGCTGGTATGGAAGTTCATTCATCGTAGCGTGTTAGATGATTTTTTTCTCGCTATAATCAATATTATACATTTAGAAGTTTACCATTCGTCTATGTCTTGAATATTGCTGTCACATCTGGTCTGCTTCTGCTGTGTAATTAGATATTCTTAATAAAATCGAAAGAATAATTTGAAATGTTATCAATCCTGACCTGGCATCTCGGCTTCAGTCAATTTTCAACCACCGTAGTATATTTTCTCTGTGTCTTTTCTATAAATATTTTCATGGTAATTGTTCTGAATAACTTTCCTATTTGGTACTTCGACTTGACGAATGTATATAAATACTAGATTGGCGGTTAGGACACATCCTTTTACAAATATTCGTTTCTTGTTAGTGGAACTCTCTTTTGGCTTCTTGCTTTCCAGCCAACTATGATCGTCAAAAATTTAAATTCAATATCAATCGTTATCTTCTGTTTTCTCCCTGTTCTTGTATTGTCCTCTCTCCTTAATAATACTTTTCCTTTTTTCCTTGCGTCTTAGTGTCTTTATTGCCTTGCTTGAGTTCAAATATATTAAAAAAGGGAAATGGTAGCTTAATTTTGCCGACACTAGTTTAAAGGAAACAAAATATAAATGTCACATTTTGAATCTCACTGCACTTTGTATAATCAAATTCTTTAACGCTAATATTTTTAAAATTTATAAAATTTTGTTACATACAACATATAAGTCACTAATTATTTGATGACCGTTTCTTTAACAACAGAAAATACTGCTGAACATAACGACTATCTCGTACCCCCACATTAACACTAACACACAAACATATATATATATATATATATATATATATATATATATATATATATATATATATATGTGAAAATATATAGAAAATAGGAAGGAACTGGTTAGGTAAATAATCCAAAGTCCCTTAGTATTTTAGTTATTATTTTAAAAAAATAGAGCTCGATACAAAAGTAGAGCATAAATATAATTATTTATTTAAAAATATGATTCCAAATCGCTACATAAGAGGTCTCATGTTTCAAAACAAGAGCCGAAAACTTCAATATAATCCTTTAAATTAAATTGAGTTGAAAGTAAAATGGGCTCCGTTCCATCTTCAAGCGAAATTTTTGTTGGAATAACGTATATCTAAATTTACTTGTTTTAAAATTGAAATCAAATTCCCCATGGTAACAGCTATGGTGAATTGTCTAAATTAAGGTAGTAGGCGAGTGTAAGGTGTTTATAATAAGTAGCGGTATAGAGATACTTTCAAGATGTCAAGTCGGGGAAAGGTGGGGGTGTCTAAAATGAAACGGAAGATGTATTGGCCATCGTCTAGTTTGCTTGTCTATGGAGATTTATTTATTTATTTTATTTTATTTTATTATGAAAGGAATTGTGCATATAAAAAAAACTTTCGTAACGTTTGTTTTTGACGACTTCATAAAGGGTTATCTTATATGTAAGGTATTTAAACTACTAATTTAGGCTATGGATTATGAAGTGTGTTATGTTTTACGCATGTTTGTAGTGAATTATTCCTACTATGAATCTGATGATTGGGCTATTTGTTAAACAAGTTATATAAATTTTTTTTTATCTAATAATTCAAACCAAAATCTGATGATGCCTACAAAAAACCGTTAACTCGTGTCTATTATTTAATAGATTATTATTATTTAGAAGTTTAATAATGTGCAATTTTTCATGGAGGCACAAAGGGTATGGGTCATCCCAAGCTTTACATATTCTAGCCTTGTCAATAATTTTCCATAAAGCTTGGGATGACCCATGCCCTTTGTGCCTCCATGAAAAATTGCACATTATTAAACTGCACATTATTATTGAACCGAGATAGACGAAAGACTGCACATCCTCCAGATTGACCCCGTCCAGCCTCAGTGGCTGCCAGTTGACTGGATCAACCAGGGACGGCATAACTTTGGTCTTCGAGGCATTGATGGTCATACCCACAACCCGTGCTGCAGCTTGCACACGGTTGAGCGCTGCTTGCACATCGTCACAGTTCGATCCGACCAAGACAATGTCGTACGCGTAGGCCAGATCAGGCACCCTGACATTCCGACCAACCGCAACTCCAGCGTAGTCTTGAAGGGCCTTGCCGAGGATGTAGTCGATTGTCTAGTTGAATAGGGTAGGGGATAGGGCAAGCCCTTGCCGCACACCAGTCTTCGCCTCAAACGTCTCCGATTCCTCACCATAAGCACGAACACGGGCTCGCGTCGACCGGTATTAGCTCTTGATGAGACGAAGGAGTTTAGCGGGCATGCCATCGGCCTCCATGATACGCTAGCGTGAGCCTCTATCAACGAAAGCAGTCGAAAGCAGCCGCAAAGTCGACGAAGCAGAAGACTGTTGGTTGCTGGTATGTCCAACGTTGTTCGAGGGTGCGCCGCAGGCTGAAGATCTGATCAACACAGCCTCTGCCTGGCCGTAGCCACCCTGAGACGGGCGAGTTCGCAGATCACGAATGCCTTGAAATCTTCGCAGGAGAAGCACTGCAAATACTTTGGCCACCACGTCGATGAGGCTGATTCCTCTGTAGTTCGAGCAGAGTCTCCTATCACCCTTTTTGAAAAAAGGTAGTAGGATGGCCTCGCTCCAATCGGCAGGGTAGGCCTCAGAGAGCCAGACCGCATTGAAGGCACAATGCACCCACGAGGCGAATACATCTGGCACGGCTTTATATACTTTTGCAGGTATACCATCCTCACCAGAAGCCTTGTTGTGACGCAGATGGCGCAGAATATCTCGCACTTCAGTCGTATTCATCGGTCGGTTCAACGGCCACTTCCGTCGCCGAAGTCGGATGATTTAGTAGCTCGTTAAATTCTCTTTCAACCGATTTAGCCGCTCGCCCAGACCTGTGATAATAGCACCATCACGGGATCGAAGCGTCTCACTCACCCCCGTAGTTCCGCGACTCGCCCGCCTCACCATCTGGTAGAGTTTACGAGAGTCGCCACAGGCTGCTGGACGCTCAGTCTCCTCGGCGAAGGCGCGCCAATGCGCATTTCGGTCAGCGCGAATGGCGGAAGTTGCGCGGCGCCGTAGATCGCAAAAGTTCGCAGCTCCTGTCAGTGGCGCCTTTTCCACCAGCCGAAGGCTCTCCCCGGTGATCCAGTCCCGATATCGGTGACGGGTGACACCACGATGGGCGTGGGCCGCTTCGACGGTGGCAGATTTGAGAGCCTGCCATTCAATTTCTGGTAGAGGCTCGGAGCTTGGTTGGAGGAGAGACCGATTGCGAAGTTCCAAACCGAACTGTTCTCCCGCGCGCAGCTTCAGATTGGCGACGTTGATTCGCTTCAGGATTTTGGTGGATCCCCCATCTCGCAGACGGTCGCGGACAAGTGTATGATCCATCCATGAGCTGCCCGTATCTGCACCTTCCGAGATCAAAAGTCTGCCACTCACCCGTATAAGATCAGTGGAAGGGACGAGATGTCGTCGTTTACAACTGCTTGTCACCACAAGACGATTAGCGACCGCAAATGTTACGAGACGAAGGTGTCCTTGTCCTCCTCCGCTGCATTCAGTGTCGGTGCCGGTCCAGACAGCGGAGATGACGGTGGCGTTTATAACTGCGCCTTTGCGGTACGGACCATGTCCAGCCTTCAGTGTCGGTGCGTAGACTGGTTCCCCAGCGTGGGAGACTGGTTCCCAAGCGAGCAGCGATGCCCTTGATGCTGGGCTGAGAGCAATCGCCACTCTATACAGCCCGAAAGATGGTAGACGCAGTCAAACTCTGGCACTTTGATTATTCTATGCCCGCTATCCGGGAGGCGGACCTCTGACAGACAGGCGACACAAACACCATACTTGTACAGAGTCCTGACGGTGAGAGACTGTGTTCCTTCGTCGCGAAGTGTGCGGACATTCCAGCCAGCAATCTTCATGACATCTCTTCTTGCAAGGACTGTGGTGGCTTGCTGATTTCTCACCAGAAGACACCCGCCCTGCTCCAGCGTCGTCTCCGATGGTCGGGCACGCAGCTCGACGCGCAGAGGGAGAGCTCATCCGTGATGTACTTCTCCCTCCTACTCTTTCTGGTTGGCGAAAACGTGTCGGTGGGCAGCTGAGGACGCTGGGCTGCACAATCAAGGATGACCTAGCAGTTATCAGGTCCATAAGAAGTTGGTCTTCGACGATGGAATAGCGATTGGCTCGCCATTTCGTGTGACCTGGCTCAAGATCGGCGATCGTGGGCAGCGACGGTCCGTGATGCTGTACTTGCTCAGGAGGAAGCCGGTTCAAACCGACCAGGGTGAAAATACGATCAAGTCAATATATATATATATATATATATATATATATATATATATATATTCACGAGGTTGCACTATTAACTCTCATTCCTTTCCACTGTGAAAGCAATACCATTATTCATACAAAATCCTCTTGTAATATCATTTGAAATGCTAGCAAATATATTCTATCAATCGAATGTCTGACCTTCCCCACATTCTTTACATATATAATGCAAATGCTAGTGTTTTTGAAATGTTTCTTTGAATTCCTTGCGTCATATTACTTTTGCTTTTTACCCCAAGCATATAAACGGCTGGCTGGTAAAAAGAAAAATAAAGCAGAGTTATCTTCCTGTATTCATTATTTCCCCACATGTGATATATTTTACAAAGCGTCAACGAGACTGTCAAATAAATCTTGAGTTAAATTTTGAGTTCTTAAAGCCATTTTCTTTGTTGCCTGAAATGAGAAAGAAAAGAAGAGTAAAACATCTTACACGGCACTAATTCAATCAGTATATGGAAAACACAGGGAAAAGTATGATTTTTCTACTTCAGGATGGGCTGTCCGTGGCTTGAAAAGAAACCTTCTCTCTATGATACGTCACAGCCCTATTCTTGAATTTTATGAAAGTGTAAAAATAGATTTTTATAGTAAACTTAACAGCAATAGATTTTAGAAAAAGAATATTACCACGAATAAATTTAATTCTCAAAGAAAACCATCTTTACACAAATACATCAATGAAACCTGATCTACAAACTAATTTCTTACAAATAATGCATATTATATTCATATCGTAAAAATATATCAACATTAAATAACCCATTGAGGTTGGTATAAAACAAAATAAACCAAACCAATAATAAAATACATCAATGAAACCTGATATAATTTCTTACAAATAATGCATATTATATTCATATCGTAAAAATATTGTCAACATTAAATAACCCATTGAGGTTGGTATGCCGTAAAACAAGATAAACCAAACCAACAATAAAATACATCAATGAAACCTGATCTACAAATTTTCTTACAAATAATGCATATTATATTCATATCGTAAAATATTATCAACATTACATAACCCATTGAGGTTGGTATGCCCGTAAACAAAAATAAACCAAACCAATAATAAAATCATCAATGAAACCCTGATCTACAAACTAATTTCTTACAAATAATGCATATTATATTCATATCGTAAAAATATTGTCAACATTACATAACCCATTGAGGTTGGTATGCCCGTAAAACAAAATAAACCAAGCCAATAATAAAATACATCAATGAAACCTGATCTAAAAAATTTCTTACAAATAATGCATATATATTCTATTGTCAACATTAAATAACCCATTGAGGTTGGTATGCCGTAAAACAAAATAAACCAAACCAATAAAATACATCAATGAAACCTGATCTACAAACTAATTTCTTTACAAATAATGCATATTATATACATATCGTAAAAATATTGTCAACATTACATAACCCATTGAGGTTGGTATGCCGTAAAACAAAATAAAAAAACCAAACCAATAATAAAATACATCAATGAAACCTGATCTACAAACTAATTTCTTACAAATAATGCATATTATTTCATATCGTAAAAATATTGTCAATATTACATAACCCATTGAGGTTGGTATGCCGTAAAACAAAATAAACCAAACCAATAATAAAATACATCAATGAAACCTGATCTACAAACTAATTTCTTACAAATAATGCATATTATATTCATATCGTAAAAATATTGTCAACATTAAATAACCCATTGATGTTGGTATGCCGTAAAACAAAATAAACCAAACCAATAATAAAATACATCAATGAAACCTGATCTACAAACTAATTTCTTACAAATAATGCATATTATATTCATAACGTAAAAATATTGTCAACATTACATAACCCATTGATGTTGGTATGCCGTAAAAAAAAATAAACCAAACCAATAATAAAATACATCAATGAAACCTGATCTACAAAATAATTTCTTACAAATAATGCATATTATATTCATATCGTAAAAATATTGTCAACATTACATAACCCATTGATGTTGGTATGCCGTAAAACAAAATAAACCAAACCAATAATAAAATACATCAATGAAACCTGATCTACAAACTAATTTCTTACAAATAATGCATATTATATTCATATCGTAAAAATATTGTCAACATTACATAACCCATTGAGGTTGGTATGCCGTAAAACAAAATAAACCAAACCAATAATAAAATGCATCAATGAAACCTGATCTACAAACTAATTTCTTACAAATAATGCATATTATATTCATATCGTAAAAATATTGTCAACATTACATAACCCATTGATGTTGGTATGCCGTAAAAAAGATAAACCAAACCAATAATAAAATACATCAATGAAACCTGATCTACAAACTAATTTCTTACAAATAATGCATATTATATTCATATCGTAAAAATATTATCAACATTACAAACCCATTGATGTTGGTATGCCGTAAAAAAAATAAACCAAACCAATAATAAAATACATCAATGAAACCTGATCTACAAACTAATTTCTTGCAAATAATGCATATTATATTCATATCGTAAAAAATATTGTCAACATTACATAACCTATTGAGGTTGGTATGCCGTAAAAAACAAAATAAACCAAACCAATAATAAAATGCATCAATGAAACCTGATCTACAAACTAATTTCTTACAAATAATGCATATTATATTCATATCGTAAAAATATTGTCAACATTACATAACCCGTTGAGGTTGGTATGCCGTAAAAACAAAATAAACCAAACCAATAATAAAATACATCAATGAAACCTGATCTACAAACTAATTTCTTACAAATAATGCATATTATATTCATATCGTAAAAATATTGTCAATTTACAAACCCATTGATGTTGGTATGCCGTAAAACAAAATAAACCAAACCAAACCAATCAATAAAACCTGATCTACAAACAATTTCTTACAAATAATGCCTATCGTAAAAATATCAACATTACAAACCTAAGGTTGGTATGCGTAAAACAAAATAAACCAAACCAATAATAAAATACATATTATATTTTCATATCGTAAAAATATTTCATCAAAATATTGTCAACATTAAATTGATTGATTTGGTATGCCGTAAAACAAAATAAACCAAACCAATAATAAAAATACATCAATGAAACCTGATCTACAAACTAATTTCTTACAAATAATATATTATATTCATAACGTAAAAATATTGTCAACATTACATAACCCATTGATGTTGGTATGTGCCGTAAACAAAAATAAACCAAACCAATAATAAAATACATCAATGAAACCTGATCTAAAAAATTTCTTACAAATAATGCATATTATATTCATATCGTAAAAATATTGTCAACATTACATAACCCATTGATGTTGGTATGCCGTAAAACAAAAATAAACCAAACCAATAATAAAATACATCAATGAAACCTGATCTACAAACTAATTTTCTTACAAATAATGCATATTATATTCATATCAAAAAATTGTCAACATTATATTGAGGTTGGTATGCCGTAAAACAAAATAAACCAAACCAATAATAAAATACATCAATGAAACCTGATCTACAAACTAATTTCTTACAAATAATGCATATTATATTCATATCGTGAAAATATTGTCAACATTACATAACCCATTGAGGTTGGTATGCCAAAACAAAATAAACAAACAATAATAAAATACATCAATGAAACCTGATCTACAAACTAATTTCATACAAATAATGCATATTATATTCATATCGTAAAAATATTGTCAACATTACAAAACCCATTGATGTTGGTATGCCGTAAAACAAAATAAACCAAACCAATAATAAAATACATCAATGAAACCTGATCTACAAACTAATTTCTTTAAAATAATGCATATTATATTCATATCGTAAAATATTGTCAACATTACAAAACCTATTGAGGTTGGTATGCCGTAAAACAAAATAAACCAAACCAATAATAAAATACATCAATGAAACCTGATCTACAAACTAATTTCTTACAAATAATGCATATTATATTCATATCGTAAAATATTGTCAACATTAAATAACCCATTGATGTTGGTTGCCGTAAAACAAAATAAACCAAACCAATAATAAAAATACATCAATGAAACCTGATCTACAAACTAAACAAATAATGCATATTATATTCATAACGTAAAAATATTGTCAACATTACATAACCCATTGATGTTGGTTGGTATGCCGTAAAAAAAATAAACCAAACCAATAATAAAATACATCAATGAAACCTGATCTACAAACCCTTCTTACAAAATAATGCATATTATATTCATATCATAAAAATATTGTCAACATTACATAACCTATTGATGTTGGTATGCCCGTAAACAAAATAAAAAACCAATAATAAAATACATCAATGAAACCTGATCCTACAAATAAATATTATATTCATATCGTAAAAATATTGATCAAACCCATTGATGTTTGGTATAAAAAACAAAAAACCAAACCATTAATACATCAATGAAACCCTGATCTACAAACTAATTTCTTGCAAATAATGCATATTATATTCATATCGTAAAAATATTGTCAACATTACATAACCTAATGAGGTTGGTATGCCG